GCATCTAAGGCAAAATTCATGATTACTTTCACAGCTAATTTAACTGTTCGATGGCTTACTGTGTAAAGTAGTGGCGACTCATTTTCATAATCAGCATTGTATACAACGTCGTGGACATTATCATTTCTATCGGGGAAATAAGCTTTTAAATTCATTTCGGGTAGCATATCCGGTTGATCAAATGCGGCTGTTGGCATCGGAAAGAAACATTCATCATCACTTTCTCCAGAGGTATTATCGGAGCCAGGAGTAATCGAGGAACGGTCGGACAGAGCTTTACGTTCTTTAGAAACTGGTCTAATGAACGACAGTTGTGACTTAGAGGAACATGGTTGACATTGTAGATGACCTATAGCTTTCGGTATATCCAATAATCGCCGTTTAATTAATTTATCATCGCCGACGTTCCATGCCCTATGTACTCGTATACCATGTTCTTCAAACCCTACCCCAGAACTTTTTCAGAAAGGAATACGCGACACCTACGTATGTACATAAAGCAGCCTTCAGAAAAATAAGGAGAAGTATTGTACGTCCTGTTAGATGGATTGGTCCTATTTAGTAACTTGAAAAACGGCAATCAGAGGGCCTATAAGACACCGGCTTGAGTTTAACACTCATAATCTATGTGGAATGCCTTGTACCTTCATCAGCGTACCTGATTTAATATAAAAAGTGCGTTTTTTTTCATGAAAGATTGCACTTTTAAAAAAAATGATAGTATAATTACTTCGAAGGTAATAATTGCAAGCAATTTTTCAACATGTTCCTGAGGTTGTGAAAGAAAGTTTTATAGCTCATTATATAGAGAACTGTGCACTCTACAAAACGCACTGACTTACATTTTGCGGGAAATCTACTGGATGGAGAAATCCAGGAGAAAACCATTATTTGAAGACCCGTTTTTTCGAGGCTCTTAGAAAACTTGCTCAAAATCCCAGAAAAACCACTTTTGTAACCAAAAGCAATACAGATTCTGGAAGTAGACATTTCAGGCTATCTTTTCATGTGCGTATCTCAAAACCGATTTTTTGACCGAAAATCACCATTTCTGAGGGCGGGGGGGGCCCTTAAATACGTATGAAAATTATTATATTATGGTAAAATAGTTGTTTCGAATGCTAGAGATAGAGATATTTGAATGATCATGACACATTTTAACAAAGGATACATATTTTCGTAACTGTTTGATCAAATTTGTGAAAGAGGTACAAAAAATGCCAAATGCAAAACTTTGGCAAAATGTTTTTTATAAAAACTTTTCGTTTTTAATTTTGTCGATGTATTTTTTGGGCACCCTGTACCTTGACATAAGAATTAGAACAAAACATATACAGATTTTTATTATCTTTTGTAGATTTTTACGACAACGTTCATGGCTTCGAGACGAGAATCTTCTAATCGTCAACATAAATTTTCATTATTAAATTTAAGTGCGAATGAAATATATTTTGAAGATTATGCAGTTTATTGTCAAAAGCAAAACTTAAAACCATCCAATGATAAATTATTGAAAATTTCTCATGAGACGGTAAATGAATCAAAACAGAAAGGTCGTCTAAAAGTTTGTTCAAAATCATTAGTATTTGTTCCAAATGATATTCGTCAACCGATGATTAGAATGACCTATAAACTAATATCAAAAGTAGAAGATTAAAAAAAAAATGAAATTTTATTATCAAATTCAACAATTATCTCATCACATCAACAACAAAATTGTCTTATTATGGTGTGTTCATCGATCACTTTAATGAATGAATATGGAAGAATCGAACCTTATACTGTACTCTATGATACATACCGTTTTATTATCGAATTTCTTTATACAAATGTTGAAGATTGTATATTGGTTGTCGGACAATTATATCGTTCATCGACATTGACATTTTCTGAACCGACTATGATGATTGAATCGATTATTCAAGGACGTTTAAAAATGTTAAAATTTGATTTAAGTCAACTAGGCGATTTTCGAGAACGAATTGTATTTGAAAATGATGCATATCTCATTAAACCATTAGTACAAAATCCTGGCAAAATTGTACTCACTGATCAACGGCTGTATTTTCATTCATTAAATAATATAGAAGAACAACAAACAAACAAATATGATTTATCAAATATTGTAAAAGTCACTAAAAGATGTTATAAATTTCGTTCAATTGGAATAGAAATACTTTTTTCTAATAAAAAAACATCGAGGTAAATGAATAAATTTCATTATATTTTTATAAATTCTCCATTTTTTAAAATTAGTATGAGTTGTACGTTTACAAACATTGAATGGCTGTTCGATGAGTAATATTTGAGAGAATTAAAAATATTTAGTGTCTCGTAGAACCGTTGTCGTTTGTTGAAACTAATGACTTTTTCTCCTTGTATCTTTTAACTATTTATTTTTTACAATTTTTATTAGTGTACCGGAAAATCTCTCAATAATTCAATCGAATACATTATATTTGGTATTTTCAAATGAAAGAACATGTTTAACGTTTCACGATTTATTATTAAAACAAAATAATATCAAATTAGGTGATGTTAGTCAAGATAATATGACATTACGATGGCAATTAGGTAAAATATCAAATTTTGAATATTTATTATATTTAAATGATCAAAGTCAACGTTCATTTAATGATCTAACACAATATCCAATTTTTCCATGGGCTTTGAGTGATTATATTAGTAATGAACTCGATTTATCTAATGCAAAAATATATCGAGATTTACGAAAACCAGTAGGCGCATTAAATCAAGAACGTTTGGATCGTTTAAAAACTCGATATAATGAGAGTGTAGAATTAGAAGATAGCGAAAGATTTTTATGTGGTTCATTCTATAGTAATCCAGGTTTTATTGTTTATTTTCTTGTTCGCTTATATTCCGAATTTCTTTTATGTTTAAATGGTGGACGATTTGATCATAGTGATAGATTATTTCATTCCATTGCTGATACGTTTAACAGTTGTTTATCAAGTGATTCAGATGTTAAAGAACTCATACCCCAATTTTACGTGTCTAATCGATATTATAATGATGTTGACAGTGAGAATGAGGATGGAAGTTTTTTGGTAAATATCTACGATATTGATTTTGGTTATCGTCATGATAATACACTTATTGGAAACGTTATTCTTCCACCATGGGCAGAAGATGAATAAGATTTTGATTTTAAAATGCGTGAAGCATTAGAATCGGATCATGTTTCAGAATAGTTAAATCATTGGATTGATCTTATTTTTGGCTATAATCAACGTGATATAGAAGCAATTAGTAATGATAATTTATTTTTTATTATTTAACGTATGGTGTTTTTGAAAATGGTAAAGATAATGGCGGAGATATGGAAAATATTGAAGATTGGGATAAACGATTAGCATTCGAAACGCAAGTACAAGAATTTGGACAAGTACCACAACAGGTATGGTTTGTGTGAACTTAATTAGATGAACATAAATTAGTTTATTTTCTTTTTTAGTTGTTTGATAAACCTCATTCAAGAAAATTATCAAAACAAGACCTATTATTATCACGTAATGTATTTGTTGTTAATTGAAGAAGAAGAATTGTAAAGGAACTATGAGTTTTCAAAAGAAGATTTTCTTTCGTAATAGTAACTATCTCTTCAGATTAATTTGCTTGTCTACTAATGTTTATATTAATCAGATATCAAACAATTTAACGGCTGTGATTCTTACTATATAGTCTTTGAGTGAAAATATGATGAAGTAAACGAAAAAGAATTAAAGTTTTTATTATTTATTCTTTCTCTGTTTCTAGGTCAATCAAGCACAATAAATCCATTACATCTCGTTGAAGATACAATTAAATCTACATCTTCTAGTCGTTCAAATACACTATCAGATTCACCACAAATCTTTTCAAATACGTTAGACAATACTATTAATGTTGAAAATGATGTTAATTGGGATATGTCTACTATTGTTAACGATCAATGTAACTCAGGAGAAGAGGAAGAAGAAATTGGTCACGTAGAATCCGAATGTGTATGGCGTTTACATAAAAATTCTATTAATCGTATTGTTCAACATTCATCTTTAGCAAATCGTGTTATTTCAATTGCAGATGATGGTTTTCTACGAACATATACGTACGAAACAAATAAATCAGATTATTTTCTTAATATTTGTAATCAATGTTGAAAATGAATTAAAAGAAATAAACTCAATTGCATTTATTGGAAGTTATGATCAATCAATATATATCTATAATTTGACAAACAGTTTACTTCCATATACCCAAAAACTTCATGAAGATGTGATTGTTGATGTTTATGTATCAAGTAAAATTAATTCTTTTCCTTGTATGTGGACTGGTTCATGGGATAGCTCTCTTCGATTATGATCATTAGACACACTACTCACCATTGATAATGAAAATACTAATTGTAAATTTTTATTAAACAATTATTTAAATCAATTATTTAAATCCAACGACTTGAATTATCCCATATCTATAAAATATCTCTTGATTCAGCTTGTACATGTTTAGATGTGTTAGAAGAACATGATTTATTAGCTGTTGGTTGTCATGATTCAACAATTCTTTTATGCGATTTAACTACAGGACAAATATTAATACAATGGAATTCATCTTCCGAAGATCATTCTAAAATAATGTCCATTCAATTTCATAATGATGGATTATTTTTAGCTTATTTATGTACAACAAAACTAGCTCTTATTGATATTATGACTGGTACAGAAGTATTTAAACATTCATCATCTTCTATAAAATTTCGTTCTCTATTTTATTCAAATAATATACTCATTATTGGTTGTAAGAATGATTCTATAAAATTATTTTCAATGAAATCTTCATCCTTTCTTCCTCTTTCACTTCACATTTGTGATACGGCTATAACAACAATTGCAAAACATACTCATAATATGGCATCCGGTATATACGATAAAATTTATTTCTTTGGCACTGAAGATGGTTCAATACATATGTATTCAATGAGATATGACAATAAAACACATGTATGATTGGGGTAGTCATTATTTATAAATATAATTCATTTTTTCTCTTTGAACTGCTATTTTTTGAACCTTTAGTGTATTAAATATATTCAAATTATTGAATGAACGTTAAATCAATTCCAATACTGTGCTGTTTTTGATTTTATTCAATGGAATCATTTAAAATATTAAATGTTTTTCAACTAGTGAAAAATGGTGATAAATTTCTTTTCCATTTTATGTACTACTTGTGTCTCCGTCTGTTTTCTTATTTATTTTTTGATCTTTCAATGTTTCAACTTTAACTATTGATCGTATATTTTTGTCTACCGCTATTTATATTTTCTAATAGAAATCTGTTTAATAAAATCGAAAAAGAATTTCTTCACATTTTGCAATTAGTCGTTTTAATAATTCATCTTGCAAAATAAATGAATGAAGAGTGCATTGTTTCTCAGATAAGATAACAGTAGCGATGATTGTTATTGTTATTTTTTTTAAATTTATTATGCAATAGATCAGTGACGTGCAATGCTTTTAAATTGTTTTTGACATAACTCATTCTAAAAGTTTTCCTTTGTAATAAAATATTGGATTCTTTACCATTTGTTTGTGTCCATCATTATATGATTTTTTGAAATCTTTTTTAAAATAAACAGTATGTTAAACAATGAAACATGATATATGTAACTAAAACACTCATATTTAAATTAAACAAATTTCTAAAATGATTAAATTAAACTTTGTAAATGAACGATTTGAATGATCATAATTTCACTTTTGGCAAACGGTTGTTTTTTGTTTTTTTAGGAAAAGAATTCATTTTTTCTTCTGTGATTTAAATGATTTAGAGATTTTTATGTGCCTTTTCTGACTATTTTTAGACTATTGGTATCACCTTAAATACAGTTTTTTACTTTTTAAAATTAAGATTGAAATTGTTTCTGCCTTTTTTCTCCGTGTTCATAATACAACATACAAATGTCAACTGTTCGTCAGTCAATGCGTCTTGCTAAAAAGCGAGCCACTGTTAATAGTGGTGATCGAAGACAATCAAAATTGATTGCAAATCAACAAGAAAAAGAAATTGAACAGCATCGTAGTCAACGATCATACAGTAGAAGACGTACAACAGTAAAGAAAGAGGAGAAAAAAGAACATGTTGATGATGAGACAATAGATAAATCAGATTCTATAGTTATTATTAATCGTGCTCCAGTTTTAACTCTTTGGTCAGCTTTAGTAGCAAAAAAACTCTACGGTATACGATGGGAAAATGCATTGACTATTGGACGACGATTAGCTGGACTGTTAGCACAATCAAATTCACACCGCATTAAATGAAATCTATGTTTGTTACCACATTGCAGAGTGCCACTCTGCAATTCTTCTAACACACCCAACCCATTGTAATAGTTGAACTATTACAATGGGTTGGGTGTGTTAGAAGCATACTAAATCTTAGACTGCTATTTTGATCACCAAATTGTCAGATTTTTCGTGCTTTGGTGCTTTCTAGCTCGCACCGAATTTCGACATTAGCTAAAAAACAAAAACGTTTGGTTGGCTATCGTACTACTATACTAAATGCCAGAAGGTACTAAACGGCGAGTGTTTTTCTTGCTTTCGTCCTTTCGCAATCGCACGTGCACACATAAAAGTACGCAAGCAATCGCACATTGTTAAAATTTGGTAAACGCGTGACCTGTGTAAGGTTACTCACATCCATCGTGCTTTGGTGCTTTAGTACGAATTCGTAACATTATACCATACCTTTGATGTCTTGGTGCTTTGGTGCTTCAGTACGAATTCGTACTAAAGCACCAAAGCACCAAAGCAGCAAGACATCAAAGCAGCAAGACATCAAAGCTATGGTATAATGTTACAATTTCGTACGAATTCGTACCAAAGCACCTAAACGCAGGCAGCTTGATAAAGGTGGAGAGATAAATAGTACAGTAGCCGTTTTCTCTGAGATTTTTTAAACAGAGGATTTTTTGAAATTCGCAGCGAATTATAATTTCTCATTCTGTGGGAATCAGAGAAGTTCATAGCATTTCTCATTTATACTGGTTGCGAACGCCGACAGAAGGGAGGTGTGAGCATTGTTTTGAATTCATAAATATATTTAGACCTCTACAGATTTTTGATTTATATATTTATATCAGATTAGGAACCTTACACATGAAAACAGAAAAGCAATCCAGAAGATGCCTTACCCTACCGAGACTCCTGATTAAACTCCCGCAGGAGTCCTGGAAAAAAGTTCTACAGGAGTCCTGTCACGGGACCCCGGTAGGATCCTCTGTGGAGTCAGGGAGAATTTTTAAGGGATTCATGAGGGACTCTTGAAGACTCCCACAGGAGTTCTGTGGGATTTTTAATGGATTATTGAGGACTCCAGTGAGACTTGAGAATGGACATATCCATTCTGTTGAGGCTCCCACCAGAGTTTTTATGTACTCTGAGAGGAGTACATAGTGAGGACTTCTGATCAAAGTTCCGCGGGAGTCGTTAACTTAGTCGAAAATTATTGTAAAATTTCTACTGTTTTTTCATTGCAATAGTGTCTCTTATATATATATGTTCAGGCAATTTAAAACGGTGAATGACATAGTTTTGCAACTTCTTGGGACTCCCTAGATGTCCCGTTGGAGTAATTCCTCGAGGAGCCCTCGGTTTCTCCAACAGGACTCCTGAAGGAACATTTTTGGGACTCTTCATTACTCCATGTTGGGCTTTTCACTTTAGACAACTCTTGAGAGAGTTATTAGGACTCCTTATGATCCCTGCGGGAGTTTTTCATAAATTTGGGACTCCCGTTGGAGTTTTGCCGGGAGTCTCGACTAGGGCAGTTAGGGCCCTAGCGAGCGCCGACCGAAGGGAGGCGAGAGCATTGTGTTCGATTTATAAGTCGCCAAAGGGCGTTCGCTTGCGCAGATCCAACTTAATAGAGTCAAGGGACCGAGCGAGTGGAGACGAGCGTTACCTTGTTGTTCACCTAAGAATGGAATGAGTCACTCGTCAGCAGCACAATGTACACGGCCGTTGAAGTGGTCTTTGTGCCTCCTCTCCTCACTCTCTATATTTATTTTCAGAGATGAATGTGAAACTTTGATTTTTGCACTGACACACATCGCTCAGTATAGTGTAGTTGATCGAGCATAGTGTAGAGTATAGTGTGGTTGATCGCAGTGTCGAGCAGATGTCAC